GCATCTTTTACTCTTTTTGAGTTGAAGATTACAGTTGAAGTTGAAGTTTGAAGATGATAAGGATTTCATGATTACAGTCGCAAGTCACATAATCATCAATAATTATATAATTGCAAACTAATTCTTGGTTTCCTGATTTTCCAATCTGTAACAACTAATTCAAATTATTCAAAAACTAGTTTTTCTAGTTTATACTTATCATCTCTTGATGCTATTATGATATTCTTATTAGAAATTGAAAAAATTCTTAGAGACTCAAATGCATAACATATAATAACTATTTTCTTTACTCAAAATTTTCTATAAAACCATTGTCATCACCAAGTTCTCTAAATCTATAATTCACTAATATTTGTGGTCTTCCAAGTAACTTTTGTTCTGTTGAGTCTCTCATGCAAAGTTCACCAGACCTACTTGCTCTTTGTGAGACTAATTTGAGTTCAGCTGTCTCACCTTTTGATCTTTGTGTTGATGGTTATCTTCCTTAATTTTGTAAATACTCCAATAGTCATATTCCTGGCCTGGGCATTTACATTCGTAGAAATTCACCCATTTGACAAGAAATTAGGTTTGATTCCATAGACCATTTTTTTCTGTGCTTTCGTTTAGCACAACTTCATTCTATCATCTTCCTTTTTATTCTATATTGCTCTCCTACATCTCAAAACTGCACTCTTTTTGATGTTATTTCTGATCAAATTGACCGAGCCCTTTCTCCTTATCCCTCAGTCAATATCATTGTTTTTGGTGACTTTAATGCTCATCACACTGAATGGCTTGGTTTTAGTGTTAGTGACTTGGCAGTTATTAAGACTCTTAACTTTTGCCTTTATCAATCTCTAACTCAAATAGTCAACTTTTCAACTCATTTTCCAGACAATCCCAATTATTTACCTTCTCTACTTAACTTATGTCTTGTTTCTAATCCTAGTCAGTGGTCAGTTTCTCCACATTTATTTATAGGTGCTTCTAATCACGGTTTGATCTCTCTGAAACTATTATCTCAATCTTCTTTATCATCAAAATCCCCATATGATTGTACAACTACCTTCAAGCTGACTTCTTGACTGGGACTTAAAGCAGACTGGGACTCTTTCCTTGATTTTCTTCATGGTTGCCTTGGATAGAAATCTTTCATCTTCCTGCTGAAAAATGCGCTTCTTATGTAACTTTTTGGATTCAGGCTGGCATGAAGTTTTTTATTCCTTCTCAACAATTTCAAGTCAAGCTCCACACTTCTCCATGGTTTTCCTCTCATTGTGCTGCTGCAATACTTAATCGTATCCATTACTTTCATATCTATCAGCATAAATATTTCACCTCTCTTGTTAGGTTCAGGTTTTGTCATCTCACCTAAAGACAAAGATGTATTATTTGCTAAAAAATTCTCATTAATATCATCACTTGATTCCACTAGTTCTACTTAATATAGTTGACAAACTGGTTGATCCATTGCTTGATGTTTGTATCATTCCAACTTCTGTCTCTAAATTCATTTCCTGCTTAAACTCTTTACAGCTTGTGGTCCGGTCAACGTTATAGTCTTGCAGAACTGTTCTCCGAAGCTGTCATTTATACTTTCAAAAGTATTTAACAAGTACTATATAACAAGTGCTTATACAAGTGCTACCGTCACATTAATCTTCTAATTATTATAATCAAGGTTTTTGAGTCTTGAATCTAATAACTTACTTTCTTATCATCAATAAAGATTTTAATCTTCTGGTTCTACTGCTGATTTATTAACAGTAATAACTTATATGTTTTATCATACATTAGATGAATGCAGAGAGGCTGAGGCTATTGCTTTCAACATTTTCTAAGCTTATGATAAAGTTTGGCATGCTGGTCTTCTCCATAAGGTCTTTTTTTACAGTGTATCAGGTAACATCTTTAAGATTATTGAATTCTTTCTTTCCAGTTATATTATAAAAGTTGTCCTTGATTGACAGGACTCTTCTTCATAACCTCTAACTTTAGGGGTTCCTCGAGATTCTTTCGTTGGCCCTCTACTTTTTTTTTTATTTATATTAACAATTTCCTAGGTATTCACACATACAAGGTGGCATTGTTCGCTGATGATACTGCTGTTTATTCTTGTCATGTTAAGTAGCCAGCACTCTCTGGTTGCTTGGAAGGGGCATTTAAACTTGAAAAGAATCTTGCTGCCATATCTGGGGCAGAACTTCCAATAATACCCTTCTTCGTTTTGACAACGCATTGTAAACATAAATGAACCTACTCTTGCAGCTAACCTTAAACCATTATCATAATGTTGCTTTTCTTTCTATTTTCTATAAATACTATAATGAGCTCTGCTTTAAAGAGCTAACATCTCTTGTGCCATCAACTAAAAGCCATTCTTGTGTTACTCGTCATTCAATTAAGTCTAGTTTTTTTTCTCAAATATCAGTTTTTAGGATTTTCTTCCCTTCATTGTGTTTTCCTGATTCATATAATTTGCAATCTTTTAAGTTGTCTATTAATTGTTATTTTGCTCTATAAACTTCATCTTTTCTCTTTAGTAGTTTCCAACTCTAATATTGGTTGCTTGCGGCCTTGTTGGAAGTGAAGTTGAAAAAAAATTTTTTGAATCTAATTATTTGAATTATGATATGAGTTATTGAAAAGTATTTAAAATTATCTTTTGTTTCAATGACATTTTTTGTAATACCTGATAATTTATTATAAATAGTATATATAAAAAATTTGTACTTGGCCGTAGCTGTACTTAGCTGTAGTTAATAAAATAAAAAATTTGTACTTAGCTGTAGTTGTTTTATATATTAAATAACATTTTTTTTAATTTAACAATGAATCTTTTAGATTTATGATTAATGTTTTCAATTCATTGATGTCATCTTATTACCTAAACTTATTACCAAACTTATTTGAATTTTTATTTTAAGTTTAAATTTTTTTAGGTTTTTTACAAAAAAAAAATCATGAAAAAAGTTTTTGACTTTGAATATTTTTTTTTTTTACAACTTTAATGTCTTTGTCTAATATCATTGAAACATTTTTTTTACAATTTTTAATGTTTTTGTGTCGTATCTTTGAAACGTTTTTCACCATTTCAAAGTTTTTGTCTGGCATCACAAAAACTTTTACATCCTATAAGCTTATTTAGATAAAATGCATTTACTATTAGGCATGCCATAAAATATGGAGATCTTTTATATGTTTTTTTAACAATGCATATATAAAGTAAAGAAAGTTTTATATTATTTTCATTCTTGCTGGAAGTTATATGCTATGGGTTTTTAACTAGGCTGAAGTATAATAGACAGTTATGATCAAGTGATCAGGTAATCATGATATTTAGAGTGGTATCATTGATTGTTAAGGCAGTTTATTGTTTTTATAAATTTTATTAGTTTTTATGATTTTAAACTACTTTTTAATTATTAACTAATTAAAATAAAAAATAGTTCAGCTTGTTTAAAAAAAGATGTCAAAAAATCTGAGGAATTAAAAATAAAGTCTTGAAAATAGCTCAAGCTATTTTTAAGGCAAGATGGTGGCTTAAATATCTGTTAAACTAATTAAATAATACTTAAATGCGCAATGTTTCAGGATGCACCATACAGACCCTCGTTCAAATTTTGATGATTTCTTTAATGCTGTGTTAACTGTTTTTCAAGTAAGAATTTCTTTGTTAAAGCATTTTTGTGGGTTTCTTTTAAACTTTATGTTTATTTTTTAAAAAGACATAAGTTCTTAAAATTGTGAATTTCTTTAATGTCTTAGAAGATTTTGCTTTCTTTTTTTAAATGGTTTGCTTTTTAGAATTAGTTTTTAAATATGATTTTAGATTGTCACAGGTGAAGATTGGAACAATGTAATGTATGATGGAATCAATGCATATGGAGGAGCATTGAATGCAAAAGGAGTTTCAGTTTCATTATACTTTATTTTGATTGTGTGCCTTGGAAATTGTATCTTTCAATTTACTTGTGTACATTGTTAGCTATTGTGAATATTTATTCTGAAACTATAATTACAGTTTAAACCATTCCTTAGAGTGTAATTTTTTCATCTTATATGTTTATTTGTTTGTATTATAAGGTTTTTCGTTGCTGCGTTGCAGTGTTAAAGACAGATAGATATGCAACCAAATACTAAATATATTGAAAAATTGACATATGTGTATATATATAAATACACACACACACACATATATATGTATATATATACATGTATATATATATATATATATATATATATATATATATATATGTATATATATGTATATATTTATATATATATAAATATATATATATATATAAACATATATAAATATATATATATATATATATATATATATATATATAAAATATATATATATATATATATATATATATATATATATATATATATATATATATATATATATATATATGTATATATATATATACATATATATATATATATATATATATATATATATATATATATATATATATATATATATATATATATATATATATATATATATATATATATATATATATATATATATATATATATATATATATATAGAATATATATATATATATATATATATATATATATATATATATATATATATATATATATATATATATATATATATACTTTGGTTCATAACATCTTTTATGTGATATATGGAATTCACAATTTCTAAAACATCCCCTAACCATAACATTTTTTTTCCATGTTTAGTTGTAAAAAACTGAAGTTTTTGGACCTTGTCTTGTCAGAGAAATCTTAACCAGTTATTAACTAAGATAATACTTTGCAAGTTTTATTCTGGTTTTTAAATTTCTTGCATGTATCAGCAGTTTTAAATGATAGATTATTTTGATGCTTAGGCGTATTAATGCTAGTATAGTTTGTGCCATGAAAGTAGTTAACTAAAAGTTTAACAGAAAAAATATTAATCTTGTGAAGATTCTGGAATACCTTGCCAATAATCTATTTGTCTTTTTAGTTGTAACTTCTAGTGTGAGGCTTCAATAGTTTTTTACTGACTAAACCTTTTGATAATGTGACTGGTTCCTGTTTTTGGGAAAATGTAAAGTTTTAAAAATTTTTTGTAAGGCATTTTTTCCCCAGCTTTTATAACTAGTTTCTTTATTTCATCTGAAACTTCCATATCTTTCCTCATGCTTCCATATCTTTCCTCATCTTAAAGTAAATTGAATTATAAAATTTCTTAATTTTGACAATTAGTTATACTTCAACACTTTTGAAGTATTCCAAAGTAGTTAAAATAATAATTTTAAAAATAATTTGACCTTTAAATATGCTTTTGTTTTAAAAAAAATGATTTGATTTACTGGTATAATACTATTTTTGTAGAAAACTTGTAAAAAAGGCTTTTTTAAAAAAATTAAGTTTTTATCAACTTATTTTTAAAACTTGTAAAAAAGGCCTTTTTAAAATTTATAATTTTTGTAGTTTGTATTATAAATTGAATTAACAAAGAATTGTTTTGGTAAAATTTCAGCTGATTTATAAATGTTTGTTAAAAGTTGGTTCACCAACTAAGTGTTTTATACTGCTTATTATATTCAATTTTATGTTTGATTTTATTGTTTTTTTATTTATTTTTGTTTTAAATGACTGATGAAATGAGTTTAATGAAGGCAAAAAAATTTAAGTGACTCAGAACAAAAGGAAGTTTTTCTAATTAATACTACCTAATACTAATGCAATCTTATTGAAAAAAATTATTTTCTATGTTTTAAAAAATTATTGACAGATTTGTTTAAGGTATTTTAGAGGTCTTAAACATTAATATTATTATCAAAATTGTGTAAAAAAAAAACATTTTACAAGCATGTTTTTTTAAATGAAAATGTTACCAAAAAGGTTCTGCAGTAACTTTCTGTAATGCTGGCTAAAAATTTGAGAAGATTTCTCTTTTATCTTATTTCTTTTATCTTACTTATATTTGATTCTATTACTGAGGTGATTAGGATTATCTCTTAGGTAGCATCTCAGATAATCCTAAAAGACAATTGCTAATGTCTAGGTAATTTGGCTCTTGTTTTTGATGAACTTGATTGACTAGTCAACTAAAAGTTGGTACCAAACTATTTTGAGTCTAAAGATACCTTGTTTCCAAATAAATATAAAAACAACTAAAGTTCTGTAAACAAAATTGAAAAGTAAACTTTGAAAAAACCTTTATAAACATTTTCAAGCAATAATATCTGAAAAATGCAAATTTTTCAAACTCTGTTCATTTTTCATTCACTTTTAAATAAAATTTCTTTTACTCAAGATATAATTTTAGTTGTTGTAATAAATGTGTTTTTGGCCATTGCTGTTGACAACATATCACTGACTGCCGATGAAATAGAAGATGAAGCTGAAGAAAATTTATACCGTGAAAATCATATAAAAGAGATTCATGAAAAATATTCTTCTTCAGACATCATTGTGTAACTAATTTTTAGTTCTTTTTTGATAAATAAAGCAAAGTTTTTTGAGTACAACTTAATAAATAAAATTTTGGACAAAATTTAAAAATTAATATTTTAAGAACTAATAAGTTTTATTATTTAATATATCAACTGTTAATATGTTCGTATATGTAGTTTATAAATATATTAAAATAATTATTGCATATACCATATTTAGCAATATTATAAATTTTTTTTGAAAGATGTTTCATTTAAGTTAGGAAAGTTTCTTTATTCATCTTTGAATAGCAATATCTAATTCTTGCTTCAAGCTCTTCCAAATTCTCAGCTCTCCAATTATTCTTGTACACTAGCCGTTTTAAATCACCCCAAAAGTTTTCAATTGGTCTTGCTTCAGGAGCGTAAGCAGGGTTTATACATTTGAGTACAACTTTGATTTTTTTCAATTTTAAAAAGTTGATGACTGACTTTGCGTAATGTGATTGAGCTAGATCAGGCCAGAAGATAAACTCATTGTCTTTTTTATAACATTCTGATACTAGAAGAAGTAAAGTTTTATTCTACTATCTCTTTATAAGTGTACTGGTTGATTGCCTGCTTACTGTGATGAATATAAAGAGGGCTTATTCCACGGGGGCTGATGCAACAAGAAACTAAGAGCTTGTCCTCGTACTTTTTACGCAAATTGTATCTTACTTCGTCAGAACATTGTGAAGGATCAGCAGCATAAAGCTTATCATTACCAGCTAATGTGCTATTGTTTAAGGTAAAATAGCTTTCATCATCCATAACAAAATCCATGTTTTTATAATTTTCGTACAATTTACGACATTTAGGACGCATAGCTTTCTTCTGCTGATGGCTATGATCTGGACGATTTGTTTTTTTGAAAGTTCGAATGTTAGTCATTGTTTTTAATACTTGGGAAATTTGAGTTTGACTACAGTTAAAAACTTAAGCTACTTTCTTTTGGGAGCACCCTAACTTATTTTTAAAAAATGCAGCAATCTTTGGAATATTTTCTTTAGTAGCTACCTTAGCGATTCAACCACTTCCAATATTTCTTTTTAGAGATCCATTTTTCCAATTTTACGATTTTATCATAAGCAGTTGATCTGGGTAAACCCCATTCCATAAACTGCTTAGCAACATACGCTTTACCTTTTTCTCAATTTTTTTGGAATAAGATTTCCATCATTTTTTCGAGGTCATTTACTTTGACCATTTTATTTTCAATATTTAAATAATATTTTTAACTTAATTAAATTAAATTTAAATAGATTATAAAATCCTCTTTCAAATAAGTAGAAAGATTTTTTTGTGCATGAAATAAACTACATAATAAATGCAGTTAAAATTTGTCCGAAATTTTATTTATAGGGTGTTATTTTATATAGCAAATACTTGGTTATGTTTTATTTTATTTTATTTTAGCAAGTTTATGTTATATAGCAAATTTTTTTATTTATTTCAAAGTTTTTATTCTTTTTTATTTTTAGGGAAGAAGAAAATGAAAAAGATACATATGTGAGCGTTTTTATATATTACTATTTGTATTGTAGTTATTTTGCTGTTGTGGTTGTTATTAATATGTTATTTAATCATTTATAAATTTAGTTTAGCTATTATTTAATATATGCATAATTACATATATTATATATGTATAGTTACATAAGTTATATATGTTATATGTAAGTAGTAAGTAGTATACTATATATATATATATATATATATATATATATATATATATATATATATATATATATATATATATATATATATATATATATATATATATATATATATATATATATATATATATATGTATATATGTATATAATTATATATATATATAATTATATATATATATATATATATATATATATAATTATATTATATATATATATATATATATATATATAATTATATATATATATATATATATATATATATATATATATATATATATATATATATATATATATATATATATATATATATATATATATATATATATATATATATATATATATATATATATATATATTTGTCTAAATGCTATGTTAAAATATTATAAAATGTAATATAGTATGTTTTTAACTAATTTGTAATCAAGTTATAAGCATTAAATAGCATTGTTCTACTATACTATTAAATCTACTATACTTGTATACTACCATGCTCTACTATTACTGTCAAAAATATTTGAGATATCAGATATTATGCTACTTCAATGTTTTCTATAAAACTTTCCAATTGTGATATACTTTATCATCCATTTTAAACTTTTTTCCTTTATGTACTTATGTTCTTTATTAATTTATCTTTATCTTATTCATTTGGTGTATTCATTTTTCAATTAGTTTTGCTTATCTAATTTATCAACTTAATTATACTATATAGTATTATTTTATATCCTCCCACACTGTTATTTATTGTTTCAATAAAGATTGCATCATATTAATTGTTCCAATTAAGATTGCATCTATTAATTTAACTGAAAATTTAAAACTGAAACTTTCTTTTCCTACTTTTTATATGTATTTCAAACAATAAAAATTTCAAAAATTTCTTTCAAAAAATGTTTTGAAGGAAATATTTTAAAGGTGTTAAATCATATTTATCTAACCATAATATTAAAGTTGTTCTTGGTAGTCAATTCATTTCCATTATCATCTGGGCTACCACAAGGTTCCATTCTTGTCTGTCTGTGTTTTTCATTTATATTAACAATCTTCCTGATAATTTTATCTCTTAAGTGGCTCTATTTGCTAATGGCGCCACTATTTACTTTAATCTTTACACTTTTTGATTGTTTAGAGCAGGCTATAAGTCTTTAAAAAATCTGTGACAGCTTTGGGCTTGAAGTATCTGATAAATTTACACCCAAATAAAAAACTTGTTTTTTTACTGCCATTGAAACAGTGTTGATATTACACTTACTGAGTTTTCTACCTTATGTCTTATCATTATCTACTGACCTCTTCAGGAAACCAAACCTCTTATAGAAAGCTCTATAAATATGGAGCCTCTGTCCTATTGTCATAAATTTGCATCTCTTTTACTTTTCTCCAAATTCTACAATGATAGCTTCTTTAGCTTAAGCTACTATCAATTTAATTTCACTTACTCACATTTTTCTGACTGTTTCAAGGTTTTTTTAGGTCTTCTGTCATTCCTGCGCTTGAAATCTCTCCTTTGTTTTCTGTCAACAACTTAAATAATTGTTTGCTTGCATCTGTTTTACGTTTTCTTGTCCTTTACATTATAATTCATTTTATTTTTCACCTTTATATAATATTCACCTTCGTCTTAATTTTTTACTTGAATTTTTTGCCTTAATTGTTAAGTTATTTATTCACATTTAATTTAAACTTCACCTTACCCCTTCATTTTAATTTCTTAACTTATCTTACACCCAAACTTAAATCTTTAACTTAACTTTTACCTTTTACATTCAAATTCTTTCTTGAACTTTTAGTCACCCTAATCTTTTACTTAATTCTTTAACCACTTGGTCGTTTTAATAAGAAAGTTTAACAATTATCAGATTTTTTTAGGTCTAGTAGTAGTTGAAGAGCAAAAAATCTGTAGGTTTCTTGTTATTCATATGCAAGTATTTTCTCAAAATTTGATAATTTTATTTGCTCTTGATCATAATCAAGTCTACTATTTCCATATGGTTGGTTTTTCATAAAAATGCAAATTTACACCACCTATTTTGCTGTATGGAAACCTTGGAGGGGAAGGTGCTAGGTTTCTCATATTATTTCAACAAAATCCCTGAATATAACATCTTTATTTTTCAAAATAATACTACTGTCAAGTGATTTTGAAAAATCACTACAATTGTTTAATTCACTAAACATCCTCTTCACTACAATGATCTGCACAAAACATTTTTGGGCTAAAAATTAAATTAAACCACTTATAAATGAAAATATGAATAATGCACACATATCTTTTATATACTTACACTCTTAAATAGTAAACAAAGTTCGAATAAAATTCAAACAATAGTGTAACAACTCACATTGATAAAACACTTATGACAAAAAACTGTAAATAACTACATGTTTGTCATAACTATAGCTCTTTATTAAATCATCTCAATTATTCTAAACTACAAAATGCTCTACATAATAAAGCAAGTTGTAAAAATGAAACTCAGGGTAAACACTTCTAGTAAGTTGAAACATGATTTGCTAAATCTGAGCCCAAGTCATGCAAAAAAAAGATTGTCAAATGTGTCTTAATAGCTTGCAGACTTGTTGGGAGTGAATTAGAATTTTTTTCAAGACAACAGTTAATATAAAAAAAAAAAAAGAAATTTCTTTATAATTGAAAGTAAATCACAAGACTAAAAATAAATGAAAATTTAGTTTTTAATTTTTTTATTTTCTTACTTAATAACTCTTTTTTATCATATTTAGTCAGACTCTTTTGCAATCGAAGAATTTGATTACTATCCTAGAAATGGTCAGAGCTTTATCTAAATTATATAAATTTGAATTAATTATATAAACTTGTTGGTTTTCATTCTTGTTTTATTTTTTAATAGAATCACTTTTTATATTTTGGAATTTAAATGCTTTTTTAAATGACTTTTTAACTGGTACAATTTTTTTTCTTTTAAAATAAACACTCTTCTAGATATTACTGCAAAACCAGGAGAGAATTTTTTAGAAAACCTAAAAAATCCTGCTCGAATGCTTCCAAAGCCATACAAACCTCCTATTCTTGAAGTGAATACATTCTTTATTTTTGCTCCTACAAATTCGTAAGTTAATTTTATTTGAAAAATAGTCAAGAGGTAAGACAGTGAAACTTGTACGTTCAAAAAGTATAAATAGGCCTTTAAAACTTCAATATATAATTATTTAGGTTTATTCTTCTACAATTAATTTCTATAACTGTTCCAATTAAAAATACTATTTAAAAAAAGTTAAGTTTCATGTAATACAAGGTGTGCAGATGAGATACTGGAAACAATATCTGCGCTTAAGTCGTTTTGTTTCACCATCATCATCCACCCCTCAAGCCAATTAATTAAAACAAAATCTACAGTCAAAATACGCTTCCAGTTTTAGACTTTTAAAATATCTTAAGCTAAAATTACATATAACTAGGATTATTATATGCATAATTAATATTAGTTTACACATTGTATGGATTAGTATATAAATAATTAGGATTAGTTTTTGAATAATTAGGATTAGTATATGAATAATTAGGATTAGTATATAAATAATTAGAATTATTATCCACATGTTTAGCGCTAGTATTATAGTCATTTGACGAAAAAAAACTCTAAAATTTTTGATATCCATAATATATTTAAAAAAAAGCTTCACAATATTTTTAATTACTTTTAATTTAAATGTGCCTCTATCTGAATTACTTTTTTATTTTTTTCTAAAATAAAAACTAAATGTTGTTAAGTTTTAAATTGTATATACTATAAACTAACATCATATAAATCAGGTAATCCAAAATCGATTTTCTAATTTAAAAAAAATGCTTTAGGAAACGTTCACAGTAAAAGCAATTGCAAAAAAATTTAAGAATATGTTTTTTCTGTTGTTTGTATTTGCTTTTACTTTTATGGCTAAAGCCTAATATTTTATTCAACAGATATGATCTATTTTTTTTCCGAAATGTAAAAATATATAAAATTAGGTGAAACAAAAAGCAGTTTTAAATTTCTCATTAAACAAAAAGCAGTTTTAAAATAATTTCTACTTGAACAATGAACATGTTTCATAACTGTTATTAAGCAGACATAAAAATTATGAATAACATTTTTTTTATTTGAAAAAATTCATATGAGAATTGCATAAAAGATTAAAACTAATAATATTAATAAGGTTAAAATAATAATAAGATTAAAATTGCAAAATCTGTTTTATTTAAAAATTGTTTTGTAAGTTAAAAACACTTGTTGCACATGTTATTTTTATAAATGTTGCGCAATAAAAAGAACTTGTGCAACATGTATAGACATTTTTTAAATCATTGCACAGCTTATAGATTTATACCTTTTTTTTTGATAAAATATTAAACATATTTAAAAAAATTCAAAATAATAATGTTTGTTACTTTTTAATTATCTCTTTATTATCTCCTTCTTTATTATCTTTTTTTTTGCCATTAATATCCAGTTTTTAGATTTTTTACATTTTAATATTTTATATAAGCTTTTCAATAATTAATTTAACTAAGCAAATTAGATGCAAAGGCTTATTAAGTGACATAACTTTTATGCAATGGTTTAGTGGCGGATTTCTTACTTTGTTAGTGAGAGCTATGGAGTTTAAACCCATTATGTCCATAGAAACATCAAGCTTAATTTGTTTCTCCTCAAAACAGCTTTATTTTTTGTAGCACTTTGACTTAATGATAGTACTTCAACTACAAAGACTGAAGAACAAGTTACATTAACGACAAAGAAAGACAGTATTTTGACTTTAGTAAAGGTAGCAATTCAACTATAGTGAAGGTAGCACTTCAACTATAGTGAAGGTAGCACTTCAACTGTACAGGGGTGCGCAGGTTATTGCAGAAAAATAAAAATATTTATATCTCAAAAATGGTTTTTATTTTCAAAGTAAAACTTTTCACAATACCAAATCACATATATTTTTACTCAAAAACACTAATGAATTTCAAAGTAGCCTACTTTGGCATCAATGACACTCTTCAAATGCTCTGGAACTGACTCACAGCATCGTCGCACCATGTCCGGACTAAGATTCTTCCAGATCTTCTTCAATTTGTTTCGGAGGGCTGCCAAATTTGGATATGTTTTGGCTGCCTTCTTGGTCTCCATGACACTCCATATAGCAAAATCCATAGGATTAATGTCTGGGCTTGAAGGGGGCCACATATCTGGGGTCCAAAGGTGCGAAACATTTTCTTTCAAGAAGCTGACAGTTTTCTTTGCACTGTGTGCTGGTGCACTATTCTGCATAAAGGCCCATGGATCGTCCCCAAACTTCTTTTTGGCCCAAGGAATGAGGTTAGCTTTGATGAAGTCGACATAGGTCACCTGGTTGACTTTTACACCTTCAGGAACAAAAACAAGGGGAGTTTTTGACCCATCAGTGCACACACCTGCCCAAACCATGGCGCCCACAGGGTGCTGTCTCTTTGGAATAGTCCTCAGTTTCAAAGGAACTGTTCTTCTGGACTTACCAAGAACTATGTCATTGTATCTGTTGGGTTCTGGTTCAAATGTGAAAATTTGTTCATCACTGTAAACGATAGGGACATCTTTGTGGTCTTTGAACCAATTTAGTAACTCTTTTGATCTTTTGCATCTTTTGGCTCTAGTTGCCTCACTCAGAAGTTGTCTTTTTGACTTGACAAGGCTCTTCATACCCAGATCATCGTGGATAACACGTTGCATAGTCCTTCGAGACACACCTGCTTCTCTAGCTAAGGATGAAATTGACCTGTTTGGGTTTTGTCGTACTTTGCAGTCGATCGAATTTCGAAGTTCTTTAGTTCTCACATAACGATTCGGGCCTGTTTTTTTTCTTTTGTAATTTTTTCCAGTTTCTAAGTCTTTTAAGAGCCTGTAGACGTTGGAATTATGAAGCTGTCCCTTCACGGCTTTGCAAATTTTTTTCACACCAAGTTTCCATAGATCAAAAACAAGTTTTCTTGCATTTTCATTTTGCGTGCTGTCAAATCGTGCCATTTTTTACAACTAAATTAGTGAAAAACGGCATTTTTTAAGGATTAACTTGTTAAACTGTGTTGCATTTTTGTTGCAAAATTTTGTTTTCATTTTTTTCTGCGATAACCTGCACACCCCTGTAGTAAAGGTAGCACTTTAACTAAAGTGAAGATACTACTAACAGAAGGAGAATATATATAAAAATAATAAAAAATATATAAAAATAGTAAAAACAAAATTAAAAATCTTTTTAACTTTTGAATGCTTTTTCAAAATACTTTGTTATTACAATTCAATTCATTTGAGTTGATTTTTCAAATAACAAGATCTAGAACATGGGATAACAGCTTTTATGTATAACCTTTTTTAAACTGTTTTATTTTAGGATAAGAAAGATTGCTCATGAAATTATATCAAATCCTGTTTTTGACAATATCCTACTTGCATTAATAATAATAAACAGTCTTTTGCTGGCTTTGGAGGACATGACCGATCAAGAAGCCACTATCAATAATGTATGATTTGATTTTTATTAAAACTAGTTCTTTAAAATTTTTTAGTTTCTTTGTTTTAAAATGTTTATTTTTGTTAAGTATTTTTTTTTATAGATTCTCTCTTATGTAGATTATGTTTTCACAGCAATATTTACCTTAGAAGCTGTTTTAAAGGTATGTTTTATTTTTGTTTTAAAGGTAAACAAAAATTAGTGTATCAATATTGTTTACTTTGTTGTTTGTATTAGGGATGATAAAAGAGATTCTTTGCAGTTTTACAGATTCAAACTTTCTTGATACCACAAACACTAACAAACACAATAAGAGTTCTTGTTCAATTTAAACCTTTATTGAGAATTTTTAAATATAATACAAAAGTAATAAAGTATAATACTAATGTAATACTAAAATCACAGACAGCAATAAAAATAGTAATAATTAGTAGTAATAATTTTTATATTAAGCAGTTTAAAGTAATTTTTATATGAAGAATGTTTCATCATATAAACACAAATAATAAAATAATATTTTATAAATTTATATAATATTGTGAATTTATATATAGGATAATGCTATATAAAGATTTATATAAAAAGTGATGTGTAATTTGTTTTCAAATGTTAGGTAAAGGTAATTTTTTTAACCCTTTCTTTTAAACTGTAAAATATTTAGTAAACGTAGAGGTTCTAGAATTTATATGATTGTACCTTTTCAGCACCAAAATAAATTTTGTTGAAATTTGTAATCTAATTATAAATTATGATTCTGTCTATAAAAAAAGTGATTTTTCAAAAATTAGATTCTTTTAACCACTTACTAATAACTGAACAGTTATTCGGAGCACTTTTGAGGATATTTTTATTCCAGATTTCAAATTGTGTGGTGTCTGCCTCAAATCATAATACAAAAACTTCAAACAAATTTCAATAAATTAGGTCAATTTTTTGGTAATTTGTTTAAATTAAGGAAACCAGATAAAAACAAAAAAAGTTAAAAAAGTGTTATAAAATTAAAATAGTTTAATATATAAAACACACAAAAATAATTTTAAACAGAAAAGTAAGGTCATTGGTTAAGGTGTAGTGACTTAAGTTTGTGTGAATGGCTGTCATAAAGTTAAAATATTGAAAAGAATGAAACAAAAAAAAAGATAACTGCTCTTGTGTTATTTGCTGCCGAATACTAGAAGTCATAAACCTAATTTTTCTAAATTTACTTAAAAAAAAAAAGGCTTTATTAGAAAAATTAAATTTATTTTGCTTAGAGCGCTAAAAATAGTTAGTCTTGGTATTCGTCATCTTTGCTACAAAAATATTTATTTAAAGTGTCTGAGTATTAAATTCTTTAAAAAATCCAAATATTGCTGACATGTTGGTTTTTGATTGTTGTTGATCAGAAACTATTAAAATAAATCAATTCAAAATAATAAATAAATAAATAAAAATAAATAAATAATAAATATTCAAAAAATAACATTTGGGGAGGTAAATGTAATTTTAAACAAACCTCAAAATAAGTTAATGTTTTTTGTTAAGATAATTAAAATTATTGTTATTAAACTAAATTTACTTTTTTTTTAATTTTATTCATTGGTAAGTAATAACAATATAAAAAAAAAATCAAAAATGAAACTTGCAGTTAAACATGTCGCTTATGTTTTGTTTCTTAAAACATAAAAAGAGTATATTTACATTTTTTTTTATTTACAAATAAAATAAGTGTAAAAACTATAAGAACAACCTACATCAGTAGTAAGCGAATGTCCTCATCAATCTACATATAGTCTACAATGCATACACATTGTTTTTGCCTGCAAAAACAATGTGTATGCATTGTAGACTATACAATACTTAGTTTTAATCTTATCTGAAATAAAAATTCAGTAAATTTCTTTTTTTAATTTATCAAAAACTTGGTTTAAAATAATTTTTTACTTATGTTGATAACATTTTAAGGCACAATACATTTGTATTATGCCTTAAATATCATATTTAATGCAATATTATTATACTTTATTTGATTTATATATTTAATGCAACTTTAAGACACATATGAACATTTATGTTCATATGTATCTTAAAGCTTCTTAGCACAAACTAATCCTTTAACTTTATTTTTAAAATAATATACAACTAAGAAATTGTATTCATTTTCTAAATAACACAAATCTGTCAAATTGAAGCAAGAAAAAGTTGCACTTGTTATTATTAACACTTGAAAATTTCACCTAGTCACTTAATTTAAATATTTTCAAGTTTTATCAATTTGTTTGTTCACCTACTATTTTACTACAACTTCTTTTGCAACTGGCAAGAAGAAACTTTTAGTTCATTGCAGAAACTTTTAGTTCATTGCATGATTTTTCCATGTGAAAAGATTATAAAAGCGAAATAAGTTTTTTAAACAAATTTTTTAATTAGCAAGGGATTAAAATGTAAGAGAATTTTTCTGTTTTTGTATTATTTCAATGAAAGTAGTTTTATTCCCATATTTCTTACAGATTTTTTTTTAGCTAAAAATTCTAGTCTGGAACAGTTACTGCTAGTTGCCTTTTCGTTTCTTTCAGATTTTTAAAGAATTGTAGTAATATAAAACAAATACTTAATTTAGTGAATTTAAATTGCCTTCCATTTAGTCTATCTTGTGAGCTTAAGTTGATGTTTTTTGTAAATTTGTCTTGCAGATTATTTTAATCTACCTTTAATGGGAGCAGTTTCATGAGCATAGAACATTACTATAAAATGTGGATACTTTTTACAAATTAGATAAGAAATATAGAATTTTCTATGTTTTGATATTAAGCGATACCCCAAATTTCAAACAAAATATTTGAAATTTGGGGTAAAATTCCATAATAACTTTCTTACAGTTTATTCTCAGCAATTTTTTTTTTATTTTTTTTTTTTTGCATCACCTCTTAAGAGCTTAATGCATACAAAAAACCTAATGATCTCATTAGAGCCGAATGCCAGAATTTTTTTTGATAATAAATTTACTGAAGACTAAAAACTGAAAGACAACCACTATGTTGTTAGGAGTTATTAGGAAGACAACCACTATGTTGTTAGGAAACAGATAAGAAATTAAAAAGCAAATAACTAAGATTCCATAAATAAAAGTGTTTTGAATGTAACAGTTGAAGTAAAATATTTTTTCTTAATCAAAAATTTATTTAAGATTCCATAAATAAAAGTGTTTTCAATGTAAGAGTTAAAGTAAAATATTTTTACTCAATCAAAAGTAACTAAGTAACTAAGTAATGAAAAGATTCTATGCTTTGATATTTTGAAAAACAATTGATAGCTTATCTATCCAATGATCATGGTAGTGTTTGTAAAGAACACTTTTAAGCTTGATCACTAAAGAAAAACTAGATACCAAGTGCAAGAAAAACTAGATACCTTACATTTTTATTTGTTTCTTATTCCTAAAAAAAAACTTCAGACAAAAAAGCCTTAAAAAAATATATATATTTTTTCAGGCTTATAACTTGCTCAAATCAGCTACAAAAAGTTTATTTTTAGCACTAAAAAATAAATTTATTTTTATGTATAATTATTTTTCGTGTAAATGTTTTATCAAGAGTAATAGTTTTTTTTTAAAACTTAAACAAAATATACAGTTATACTTCGAAAATTCAATAAGTTAAAGCTCAATATATTTATCTTTAAACTTACTTTTTCTAATGAATAAGAAATTTATTTTAGTGTGCATACTGTTAAAAAGTAATTTTGGTAAATTTTCATTAATGTAATAAAATATAAAACAATAATATATAACATAGTCAAAAGATTCATACCTATTTTTAAGATAAAAAGCTGGTTTAATACATAGTTATTAAACTAGCTACTTGCTACATAGTTTCCAAGAAATCATTTGTGTTTCAGGAACTGGTAAATAGGAGGATAACAGCCTTAAGATTACACAACCAAATTTAAAAAGAAATTTTTATTAATTTTAATATTATAAAACTTTTTTAAATTTACAATTTTTAATACACTTGGAAATTTAAAAAAATAAAAAAATTTCAAAAATGCATTTTTGAATTTGCACAATTAACTTACTTTTATATGATAAAGTTTGGTTTTGTTTGCTGCAACAACACTAAAATATTTCAATTTTGTCTAAAAATGTGATAAACTTACATGTTTCAAAAATATATGTGAACTTTTTATTTTAAAAATATGCAATTAACTTCTTATAATTTTTTTTTTTTTCTTTTTTTATTTAGTTAATAAACTATGGTTGTGTGCTACATCACGGTTCATATTTTCGTGGCGTTTGGAATTGTGTTGATATGTTTGTGGTGACATGTTCAATTACCTCCATAATTTTAAAGTAGAGTTGGTTAAATGCTTTTGACAAAGTCACATCTTTTATATGAGAACATATTAAAGATGTGATAATATAGACATGATAGTATTAAAATCAAAATCATGCTATATTGTTGTAACATTTTTTCCAGTCATTAAAAACAATTTTATGGGCTTTTTGTAAATGTGGGAACTGGATTTGATTTAATTGAATTAAGTTTAATTGTATTTGATTGTTTAATGACAGTTGTCATTAAACAATCAAATACAATTACTTTCGTTTGGTGAACATATTTACTTTGACAAGACAGCTATCAATGACTGAAAAATGTTACTCCATTAATTTTTCACTCTCGTAATATTGTTGTTGTTTTAACAATAGTATGAAAATAAAGAATGCTTCACCAGCTGTAAAAACAGTTGTTAAAGTTCTTCGTGTTTTGAGAGTATTGAGACCATTGAAAGTGATTAATAAACTACCAAAGTTGAAAGTAATTGTTTTTATTTTTGAATAAATTGCGATTAGTTACAATAAAAATACTTTACAAATAAATTTTTTCAAAATTATTAAGTCTAATATAAATTTTCATTTTAGGTTGTTTTTATTTGCATGCTTTTTTCATTGAAAAATGTGATAATGGTGCTTGTTATAATTTTACAACTGCTTCTTATTTTCTCGATTATGGGTGTACAATTGTTTTCAGTAAATACATTTTTTTTAGTTATTTTCTCGATTTTGGGTGTACAATTTTTTTCAGTAATTTTTTTCAGTAATTTTATTTTTACATATACTTTTTTTTACGTTTTTGCATGCATAATCTTGAGAACTTAATTTTCTTAAAATTTTTTTGTTTACAATAATTATTTTGCACTGAACTTTTTTGAACAAAAAAAATTTATGATTATACTGTTACAAAGGTAACAACCGGTCAAGAGTAAAACAAAAATTGATAGTTGAATAAAGCATTGAAACGTAAAGCGTCTAACAGTCAAGCTCAATTAAAAACAGTTAGACGGAAACGTGTCTAACCAATTTAATAAGATATAAATAGAGAATTAGAGAAGAGGAAGATGAAATACAGATGAGAAGAAGATAAGAAGTTGGAGATGATATGGGTTCAAAAGGGCAAATATATCAGGGCATTTTTGTAAAAATGGCCTAAAATATTGTTGCAAAATATTATTTTTTTAAACATTAAAAAAGTAATTTTAGTATTGTATTTTTAGAATTATAGATCACCTTAAGTCTAAATTAAAGCATAAAATTAACATCAAATTGTGATAATTAAATTTGAATTTTGAAAATCTGATCTTTAGTTTGATCCATAAACCAATTTTACTTAATTTATAAGTATTTTGATTAACCTCAGATGTTAATAAAAATAAACAAATGACATCAGATTTTAGTAGTTAAAGAACAATTTTACTTAATTTATAAGTATTTTGATTAACCTCAGATGTTAATAAAAATAAACAAATGACATCAGATTTTAGTAGTTAAAGAACAATTTTACTTAATTTATAAGTATTTTGATTAACCTCAGATGTTAATAAAAATAAACAAATGACATCAGATTTTAGTAGTTAAAGAACAATTTTGAAAAACTTTTTAATTTAACTCTTAAACTAATATAAGGATAAATATTAAGATAAATATAAGAGGTTAATTGGATAAATATTAAATATGAATTTTAAAAATTTATTCAACTTTAAAATAAAGAAACAAACAAAAATAATCAATTACAATGCAGAGGTTCTGTATTTCTGTTATACAGAGATAAAGTGATAAATATTAAATGATTTCATTATTGCAAGAACTTGGAAAACTGTAAAAATTAATTATGCAGATGATTAAGTTCCACATGGTATTTATACCTCTTGCTAAACTCTTTTACAAAAAAAAGATAATGGTGATATGGTGTATTCATTGGGTGGCAATATAATGTATTCATTGCCACCTCTCTACCATTTCTCTACAATTGTTATCAAGTCTTTGTAATAAGCATCTAGTGCATGTGACAAATATTGTTCAAATCTTGTTAAAAATGCAGTTAAACACTGAAAATCTAACACGGGAATAAGAAAACTTGCTTTATATCTCAACAAATTAACAAAAACATAACTGGTTAAAATGGTGTCAGAAAAAACATTGCAAGATTTTTTTAACTTGCAGTTGTTAGCTTTGCAACTAATAAAAGAAAAAAAATAAGAAAAAAAACTCATTATTTACTGCATGTGGAGGATTTAATCAACAAAAAATTGACAGAGATTACAGCTACAGACATTTTTTCAAACGTGGAATTCATGATGAAAGATCTTTTTTGAAAACATCACATGCTGAGAGGTTTAACAGCTCTAGAAACAGGTATTAAATGTCAACTTATTGCTGGCATTGTTGAAACATAAGAGAGAGTCAAAGTGTTGATGAATATTATTCTAGTGAATGATGTGGTATTTTACAGTTTATGTGATCTAAAAATGGTCAATAAAATTTGTAGAATTTAGCTCTATTCATACAAGCAGCAATGTTGATGCGATATTCTAGCAATTTATCAGAATCTTTAGTATATTGTTTTATTGATACTCTTATAAAAAATTTTTATGTTTTTCCACCTTGTCTATACGACCTGATAATAGCGGGCTTTAGCATTAGACAAAACTTTTTTACAATAGCTTCTAGCAATAGTGAACCAACGTCTGTTTTCTGGAAAAGTGTTTTAGCAATAGATATGAAAGTAATGGTTACGACTGGAAATTGCAGCAGCACAATGAGAGGAAAACCATGAAGAAAAGTGAGGCTTGACTTGGAATCACTGAGAGGAAATAAAAGTTTTCATGCCAGCCAGAATCAAGAAGTTAAATAAAAAGCCAATTTATCAGCAGGAAGATGAAAGATTTCACAAAAAGAATCACGGAAAGAGTCCCAGTCAATTTTGTTGTTTCTTTATGTTTTGGAACAAAATTAGAGACTGAACGCTAGAGATAACTTTAAGTCTAAAATTCAGAAATTTAAAATTTTTCTTTTTTTTGTTTCTTATTTTTTATTTTTTATACTTATACTTTCTTATTTTTGCCGATATTGGTAACACCAAAGGTTGTTGTTTTCTATCATGTTAAAGAGATTATGTTAAAGCATCAATCTTCACTCGGAACATTAGTGAACATGCAACTGAAATATTTCACATAAAATTCAATGTTCAATGTTCATGTACTGCTCTGATCATCCAGAATATTGAAAACGACTTTTAAGCTGTGTTGTTGACTATAACAGTAAGCATTTGTAAATAAGAAAAGCAAAAAATTGTATGAAAGTCATTTTAAATCTGTAAAAACAAAGAAAAGCAATTATATACAATTGTATGAGATATAATATTTTCAGCATTTACAGTTAGCCCATTACTTAAAGCCTCCCCATTATTTGTAATCCTAGAGTTTGATTATTAAAAAATCAATAAGTTATTAATATATCACAAAATGTAATAAACAATTGCTTCATCAAAGCGTTAACTGTAACTGTATTTTAGGATGTCCAAGAAATCCTTTTTAGCCTAAATTTAGTTGAAAAAATTTTTACAGCAAGTAGTTGTATTGAAATTTTTTTTTTTCAAAAAATATGTATATATTTTTTATTATTATTTTAAAAAATTGAATTGTAAAATTTTTAATGTAGTGATACTGAAGATAAAGTTTCATTAAAAACACATTGGTATATACAGTTTCATTTTTACAATTCTAGCAATTTGGTGAAGAAATTTATAGATCACATTTGCATGAAAGAATATGTTTATGCTAGATTAAACAATGAACTCAATTTAAATCTGTAAAAATATTTTTTAATTTTAAAATAATCTCTAATGTTTCACTCCTCAATATCAGTATATTTTTGGCTATAAATATAGTTTTAAATATGAAATCACATGAAATTTACTGAAATAATATTTATAGGTCTGCAGAGTGTTTATCTTGGTATTTTGAGTCCATTAAAGACTTTTTGAAATATTTTAATTCTGACCAAACTAAATTTTCTAGCTCAAACGTCAGGATTAAGCTTAAAACATTTTTTTTTAATGTTTAAAAATTTTTTTTTTCTGATTCTAAACACTAAAATATTTTTTAATGAAGTTTTAATGCTATTAAAATGCTTTAGTCAACTTTAAGATGACATTTTTTTTTTCCAAAATCTTTTTTTCTTTGAGGGGAAGACAAAAATTGTCAAGAGGACAAAAAAAAATTGTCAAAAGGACAAAGCGAAAAAATTGTCAAGAATAAACACAAAAATGTGACTTAAATAAAATTGAAAGTTGTTTAAAAATATCTCTTAATGTACTTATAAGGTTTATATGCTTCTATAAAAAAAGTTTTTTGGTCTTTTCAGATGTGGTTGATTGTGATCAGATGTGGTTGATTGTGAATTTCACTACGTGTGGTTTCCTATAGTTCTTGGTGTTTTGTTTAGATTATACTGTATTGTTTCACAATATATTAAGTCAGGATCAGGATCATTATTTTTGTATCTTTCTCCTTGTAACATGTAATTTTGTAAAATTTGCTGCATCTCTTTTTGCATTCTAGTATGTTTTTTTTTGGTGAATGCTTAGGTGAAGAAAGTAGTTAGTTTAGACATATTAGTATCGTGTTTTGAGCTTCTGGATTGAGTTAAGACTAATACCTCAATAAAAACACTCATTTTTGGTAGATGTAAACTGCATTCTTCTACTTTCTTGTAAAAGGTCTCCTCTGCAAAGTGTTTAGTTTTAAGCATAAATTTTGTGTTTATAAAATCGTTATGTTATAAATTTAATAAGTTATAAATTTGGCATACATCACTTTTTCATATAATAGGCTGATGTAGGTGTAAATCTGTGTTACATTGTTTCCTGCTTAGGGTGATGTACTCTTTAGGCTCATAATTAGAATACAGTCCTAAAACTTAGTTAAATGGTTTTGAGGATGGTTGGTAGTTGGATTTCTAAACTGTGTGGTAACTCTCAGAGAAGTTGATTTTATCAACAATATCTAAGTAAAAGCAGTGCCATGTTATGCATCAATACTGTCCCTAGTTGTTCTTTCGGTGTACATTGTTGAGGTCAGATAAAAAGACCATTGTTACAATATTGAATTAATTAGCAAGAACTTAGAAAACTCCGTAGCTCTTTACCAGGGTCATACTGATGGGGGGAGGGGTGTGGACATCAAACTGTTGTAGTTAAATACAAATTTTAAAAGTCTGATCTCTTTTTAATTTGAGAACTATAAACCAGTTTTGTTTAATTTGTGTCATTGGATTATCCCCTTCCTCCTTATTAAAATATTCTGCCAGTAAAATGGTAGATTTTTGAAATTTTCAATCTAAAAAGAAGTTTGGGCTCTGTTATTGACTCTGAAATTGGTTTTTATTAGATTTTCTATTTTTTTAAATCATAACTATAGACTTAAAAACATAAAAATAACATAAAACACTTATTATTAATGACAACCACCAAATTCTTTAAATCTATCTTTTACACATATTTTTGATCTGCAACTTTTATTTCATAATATAGCTACAAAAGTTTTTTTTATCATTGTTAAAAGTTAAAGAAAAACATTATGACTAAGATTAAAAGAAGTAAAAAATAATCAAACCTATTTTAATATTATTGTTAAAAGTTGAAGCAAAATGTATTGTCGATTGGTCTAATAATTCTAATACTGATAACATAGATTGTAGAGAATTTTGAAAAACTGTAATTAAAAAAAAAAAGGGAATTTAAGATTTCAAAAAAAAGTAAATTTAGGATTTCAGCTCTATTACATAGGTATAATTTTATTATCTTTTCTGAGGAAATCATTACTACATTCTGAGGATATCATCACTACATTCTGAGGATTTAGCAGAGCTAATTGCAATAAAATTTTCTCTAATATATCTTTCATGATCAAACTCTTCTTGACCTCTCAGAGAAATAAAACAATCCATTCTTAGACATCCAAATCACTTTAGCAGTGATAGTTTATATTGTTTCTTTTTTTTTTTTTTTTTTTTTTAATTTTAATTCACCTCCTCAAGGCCGAGAAGGCCACTACAGACAAGGAAGCTACTTATTTGTGGTTATAACCCTCTCTCAACTCTATAGCTCCAAAACACAAACCTTGACGAGCAAGGCCGCTGCGCGGAGAAACGAGTTGAGCGCGGTACTACCAGGGACGTGGTGGGGATCGAACTCGGAACCACTCGTTTATGAAGCGAGCGTTCTACCACTACACCACTACCGCATTTAAACTCTTGCACAGCTTGTGGTCCTGCCAATATACCTGTTATAGTCTTACAATAGTATTTTCCAGAACTCTCTTTAATGCCCTCTAAACTTTCCTATTTTCTGAAAAATCCAACTCAATTAAACTCAATAATAGATCTCTTAACACTCCATCGCTTTTCTTAAATTTATCAGCAAGGTTTAATATTAAGAAGAGTGATTAAGTATTATTAGCAAGGTTTAATATTAAGAGGAGTGGTTGAGTATTATTAGCAAGGTTTATTCAGCAAACTTTTAATAATCACGCAGTGACTAATGAATTTTATTGCACAGTGACTAATCATTTTTAACCCAAATAAAACTCAGCTGGCCCTTTATTAACCATTATAGTTATGACTGGTTTCTTACTCCATCAGTAAATCAGCTCCTTTTAAATGCAGGAAGATGTTTGATTTTTCTCATGTCTTCAAAGTAACTAAGCGACAACAAAGTGACAACAAAGCATTGTTTTCTGTTATTAAATAGGCTTTATGGTTTGATGACCACATAACTAGCAATTTTTTTCATACTTTTTCATTTTCATGCACTTGACATTATTTGTTGGCAACTTGTGTAGAATCTATAATTTCCAATTGATTTCATATTTGCAAACACAAAACTCATTATCAATGACTTATTAAAATAATTATTTGCTGAAAGCTTTATCCATTTATTGTACAGATTTTAAAAAGGCCAGTAAAATTTGTCCCAGTGATCATTACTTATTAAAATAAATAACTCTACATTACTTAAAAAAAACTATTTTAGTAATATTTTATAAATCAAAATAATTTAATCGACTTGCTTTTTATTAAACCTTTGAGTAAATAGTTTAGAATCATTGTTTAAGTAATATTTATTCAAAACTTGATGAACACTCTACTTTTTTACAATTTCTTTCTACTTTTTGTTCTGGGGCTGAAATTATTTGTAAAGCATTTTAGACTTTGAATATGATTTCAGTAATTGTTTTTTAAATAGTTTTACAATAAATTTAATGGGGGCTTTCCAGTATGGCATTTACAAAATCAGCAAATAACCTTTCTATTGCTTATTTTTTTGTAATTTGTTCATAAATATTATTGCCTACAAATAAAATGAACAAGCCAATATACTTTATGTGAGCTTCAAATAATGCATAAGTTCAAGTAAAAAACCTTTTAAACAATGTTGTAGAATGAACATTGTGCAATGATGTAGAATGAACATTGTGCAATTTTGTAGAATGAACATTGTGCAATGTTGTAGAATGAACACTGCAATGTTTTAGAATGAACTTTATCCAGATTTTTACAGATGAGGTTTCCACTTTAGATAATTTTGGTTTTTGGAATCCAAAATTCTATTTTAATTAGTTTAATGCACATATTGGTTTGAGTTAAATTTTTTTTTTAACTATGTATTTAATGAATGTATGTATGTAAAATATATGGCATTTTAAAGCATGCTAAAAATATTTCAGGATTCTTATGTAAATTCATATCAAATGTTTTTAGGTCAGTTAGATAAGACATATCAAATGTTTTTAGGTCAGTTAGATAAGACATATCAAATGTTTTTAGGTCAGTTAGATAAGACATATCAAATGTTTTTAGGTCAGTTAGATAAGACATATCTGTTAAAAATATTCATAAGATCATAAATTATATCAAGGAGACAAAAAAAACACTCTGAAAAACACACACAAAAGTTAACTTTTCTAAAATAATTACATGATGGCAATATGTTTTTGAAATATTTTTTTATGAACTAAATTGTATTTAATAATAAATCACACTGAAAATTGATCTAAATAATAAGCACACTAGAACATATTAACAGATCACACTGAAACATGTTAATAAAGCACATTAATATTGCACACTGAAAATTGAGCTAAGCATATTTGTTGTATTTTAAAAAAGTTTAGATATGGTGTCAGCTAGATAAGACTCAATACTTGCAAGAATTTGGAAGTACTACATTGAAAACTGTCATCAGGTGTGTATCCAAGTTTATTGAAAATTAAACTAAAAAGTGTTTGCAAAACGAAAGATTTCTTAAATTCTACAATGCATTTTTCAAGAGATCATAGATTTCACAGTAAGAAATGATAAGAATCAGTTTATACATGTTTTACCAAGGTATGAGAAACAGGTGCTTTCAGATGAAACTTGGATCAACCCTATTACTGAAAATAATTTAAGAAACCTACAATTGTCTATTACTTAAAACATCTCTAAATGTTAATAGTGCATAACCAACTCAATATTTGTAGTTTCATTAAAAAAAAACAATTAAAAAAACTTGTAAAATAAATAAATTTTGAAAATTTTCAAGCGCATGTTATTTTGATGTATTAAATAAAACATATTTTTAATTAATCTGAAAAAATATTTTTTTGTTGTTGAAGTTTTATTTATTTCATTTGTTTTGATGTTGTTTACAAGTTTTATTTACAAGTTTTTGTTGTGTTGAATATTTTTTGTAATGCATATTTAACACTAATGCGCAGGTGACATCTCAAGGTACACATTAAATTTTTAATAACAAAATCCAAACAACTTATAGTTAATGTTTATATCTGATTATTATTTAGTTTTGTATTTCACTTTTTTGACTTGCATCTGCTCAGAAGAGATAAAATATTATTTAAATACTGAATTGCAATTTTAATTCTTTTTCTATAAAGAAGAATTAAATTTTGAAAAAAAATAAAAATTCAAAACAAAAACTGCACATTATTATTATGGTAATTATTATTATGGTAAACTAATATTTGTGATATTAGTTTACCATAATAATAATTACCATAATAATAATTAATAATGCTAATAATTTATGGTGCTAATAATTCATAATGCTAATAATTCATAATGCTAATAATTTATAATGCTAATAATTCATAATAAAAGATGTAAGGTTACATGTTTTGGTAAATTAGCATTATGTAAAATATCTGTCTTGCGTAACTAGCAGGCAGTAGTAGGTAAATCAGACTCATTCATAAAAGTTTGTATAAAAAAAAATATAAGTAAACATCAGAAGTACACTGTGCGACATAATGATAAGACACCCCAAAAATATTTACAAAACTCTACTATACATTTGTATCTAAAAAATAATTTTTATAGTAAATGAGAGCAAAAGGGTTAAAAGACTAAGCAACATTTAAAAAAAAATTATTTTCAACCTAATTTGCATTTTATTAAAATTATAAAACACTTTTAGAAAAGACACAAAATTATAAGACACTTTTGAAAAAAAATCATATAAATTGTCATTTATATAAAAAGGTGTCTCAATTTTAAACAATCAACAGTGGGTACTTTTATCATTTTTTTGAATTACTTCAATCATTCTAGAAGGTAAAGAATCATACAACTTTTTATGTATGAAATGTCAATTGCATCACATGCAGATGTGATGAATGATTTTAAGTCAGCTAGTGAACTATAATGTTTACCACCTTCAAACACTATATGTAAAAGCTGTGCCCAAGCATTCACAATGTTCAGGTCTGGAGATCTAGCTGGGCACTTCAATGTTTCAATTTTACTGCTGTTAAAATATTCCTTTACTATCTTATTCCTTTATTATCTTGCTGAAAAACAAAATTTTCACCACCTATGACAGATGCTTCGCATCTTACAAATTCTTGAACAATTAAAAGATAATCCTTAGCCTTCATTTTTCCGTCAATGAAATAAATTTTTAATTTATCATGAATCGTACACCAAATCATTACACCACCACCTGTTTGACATTGTTGATGTGTTACTGGTTCTTTACGCAAATCATGAAAATAATAATTCCATCTATCCGTCTCATCAAGACAAAATTGTTTTTCATTAGAAAATACTGCTTGTTGCCATTTTTCTTTCCATGTTACATGGTCCTTTGTAAAAGTTATTAAATTGTTTAATGACTCATTTTTGATAAGTTAGTGAGCACTTTTTTGTCATCAGGACTCAATGGTGCAGACCCATTATTAATTAATTTGTTATTTTATACTTAATAAAAAAAAACCTAAACTAAATTTTTGACAGTTCACTAAAGTTTATAGTTAAATAATTGCCTGTGGTGTTTACATCAAATAAATATTCTTAATTGCCCAAACTGCAAATAAAAGTTTTTTGTAAAACTGTCTTATAATTTTGTAGCACTGAAAAAACGGGGGTTTTTTACAAAATGCAAGTTACCTTAAAGATAAATTTGTTAAAATATTGTTTAGTGTTGTAAACCCTTTGCCTTATTTACAATAAAAATTAGTTTTTTAAATATAAATGTATAGTAGAATTTTATAAATATTTTTGGGGTGTCTTATCATTATGTCGCGCAGTGTATAATTATTTTAATTACTATTTGAAACAAATATAATATATTTTTTCTCATTTGAATTATTTAGGGGCAGTTTTGGTACTGCAGTGACCCATCTAAATATACAGAAATGGATTGCCAGTAAGTCAAAGGTTGCATTGATAAAAATTAGCCAATATGAAAAACAAAATAATTAACAATTTAAGTAGAATTTATAATTTAATTTTTTTTAGTTTTAATAAATAAATTTTTTTTTGTCTTTAGAGGAAGTTTTATTACATTTGAAAAGAACAACTACAATACTCCAATTGTATTTCTTTTTTATAAACTTCACATTTTTTTAAATATAATTCTTATATATATATATATATATATATATATATATATATATATATATATATATATATATATATATATATATATATATATATATATATATATATATATATATATATATATATATATATGTATATATATATATATATATATATATATATATATATATATATATATATATATGTATATATATATATATATATATATATATGTGTGTATATATGTATATATATACATATATATACACATACATATATATATATATATATATACATATATATATATATATATATATATATATATATATATATATATATATATATATATATATATATATATATATATATATATATATATATATATATGTATATATATATATATATATATATATATATATATATATATATATATATATATACATGTGTATACATATATACACATTTATATAAATGAATATATATATATATATATATATATATATATATATATATATATATATATATATATATATATATATATTTATTTATTTTATCAACAATTTTAAATCATCTACTAAAGAAGGGAAGTTTTTAGGAAATGGAACGAGTTTGGTTGTTGCATATATTTAATTTTGAAAATATTGCTCAAGCACTTATTACTTTATTTACATCTTCAACTGGTGATGGTTGGTACATGTAAGTTTAATATGTTTTGAATTATTTATCATATTTTTTTATTATTTATGATTGTTTAACTTTTTTGTCTAGACATATGCAGCACGGTATTGATAGCACTTCTGATGGCAGAGGTCCCATTAAAAATAATAAAATATGGGTTTCCATTTACTTTCTTATGTTTGTTGTTATTTTTTCATTTTTCTTTATCAATGTTTTTGTTGGTATGATCATTCTCACCTTTCAAGAGCAAGCTGCAGCTGAAAGTGGTTTTGAGCTTGATAGAAATACAGTAAATTTATTTAAAATTTTAAATTTTTATTTTGCAATTAAATATGATTTTTTCTTAAATTAAAAAATCTCAGCTTGAAATTAAATAACGTCATATATATTAAATAATAGGTCATTGCGCTTTATTAGTGAATCAATAATATTATTTTATTAGTGAATCACTAAGTTTATTAGTGAATCACTAAGTTTTTTTTATTTTATTAGTGAATCACTAAGCTTTATTAGTGAATCACTAAGTATTGATAAAATTGACTGGAACTATTTATTTGATGGGTTATCAGTTCAATTTATGTATGATTTGTTTATTGAAAAAATTAGTCAATCATGTAATGCTTTTATTCCAATAATTGACGTAAATTCAAGAAAGAAAAGAAAAAATAATCCATGGTTTACTGATGAAGTAAGTCTTCTAGTACATTCAAAACAAAATTTGCATTATCAAAATTTATCATCGAACTGGAAAGATCCGAAACTGCTATATAAATATGTAAATAGTCAAAAAACGATTAAACAAGTAATTAAAGTATTAAGACATCAAACTGGTTGTGTAACAAATGATCAAAATGAAATTGTTGAAATTTTAAATAAACAATTTTAAGATGTGTTTACCATCGAAAATTCTACAGAAGAGCTTCCACAAATAATAAAAAAGTTTAATTATAATAAATTTAGGCAAAACTGACACTCAAAAGAAAGTATTTTGTTTTTAAAGCTTTTCATACACAAACACTCACACACACACACACACACACACACACACACACACACACACATATAACTCTATTAATAAAACATTTTATTAGTTATGTCATTTAATTTACTACATCTAAATTTAATTGTGGCTAAGGGTACAAGGATCTTGTAAACATTGTTGATCCTTCTAGTGGCTGTGTAGTAATATAAAATACTCATTCCTTATTTGGAAATAGGTAAATGCCAGAAAAGACATCCAGTTTTAAAAATTTGCTATCCTTGTTTATCCAAAAAAGAGAGTTTTCTTCATGACAATAGTAGCTTTTTCACCAGCCTTAGGGAGGTAAATATGTAAAAAAATAAAGCTGTTTATTTATATGAAAACTACTTTTTTAGAAAAACAGTTTAATTTTTGCAATGAAATCAAAGCCAATGGAGCGCTTTATGCCTGAGGATGTAAAAAGTTTACAGTACACTGCTTGGTCATTAATTGAATCTTATCCATGGGAAGTTGGTATAACATCATTGATTGTAATAAATATTATCTCCCTGTTAATAGAGGTAAAATGTTAAATAACATTATTGATTATATTGAATGTTATCTCCCTATTAGAGGTGCAAGCATTAAATCAACTAAACTTAAAGTTTTCAAAAATGCTAAACCTAATTTTTGCATTTTTAAAAAATTTAATAAAATTGAAATTGTTTAAAAAAAGCATAGTTTATTATTTAACTTAAACATTATGTTACACATAATGTTTTGATTTCATTCATTTTCATTTTTAAAAATAAATAAGTTAATCTTTTTAAAAAGTTCTAAATTAAAACAAATATTTAAAAAATATATATTTGTGCTAGTTTTGTGTATAAATTGGGTTTTATTTGACATTTTTAGTGATATAAAGAATATATATATATATCAAAGAAGATGTTATATAATTAAAGAAGACATGTTAAGTTGTAGTTTTATAAAAGAGCAAGTGAAAAGTTTCATGTGTATAATAGAGTAGGTGCAAAAATGAATAAAATTAATACAAAATAAATCACAATAAAAAAACGTTAAAAAAGCATTTATGTTATAGTTTCAATAAATTTCTTAATAAAGTAACATAATAGTTGCAAAGTAACAGAGTAAGTACTAAGTAATAGAAAGTGTATGTATAGGCTATGTGGCTAGGGTTGGATTTACACCCTCATGGATACTAAGTTGAATCAATTTTTGGGTCTCTTAAAAATGGTTTGCCAAAATTGTTTGATGACCTTTTATGTTGTTGTTGTCATGTAATGATAATTTTGTAAATATAATGTGAAATGGCAAGACATTAAAAAATAACATTTAACTAGAAAAAAAATTTGCTGCTATTATTAAGAAGATTTGTCAATAGAGAATACTACTATGTCAATAGTTTGAGGTAAATCTACTTAACTAGATAACATTGTCAAGTAATTATTATTATTATTTTATTTTTTTGTCAGTTATTTATGTGCTCCAAAAAGTTGTAACAGTCTTATCACAGAGCACTGTAAAATAGCTTTTAATCAAAAATCTCCTTCCTTGCCAATAATGGATATATAATCAGAGACAGCTTTGAACCATAGATCTCTAATTCAAAAGCCAGAATTGTAACCACTACATCTATACTGCCTAACTATTCAAAGTTTTTTGGTTCATAGTTGACCGTAAAAAACTTTTGGTCAATTTAAGTTTTGAAAAACATCTTTCACCAGAACAAAACATAAAAAAAATTCTCAAATATGTCTAAATATTTGAAAAGTTACATAATTTTTTCTTTTATAAGCTTATATATAAAAAAATGTGTTTCAGCTGGTTCTTTTACTTTTTATTAATTTAGAGATTTGCATAATTTCATCTTCTATATGCTTCTTATTTTTAATGTTTAGATCAATCAAAAATCAAAAAGTTGTGTTAGGTTCTTCATTCAGGGATTTGTGTTTACAATAATATAAATTACAAATACAAACACAATTAATAAAAAGATTTAGATTTTTCTTTTGGACTATATATAACACATTTTTTAATCTTGAGGTTGTCAAGAAATCTTTTTTAAATGCTTTTTGTATGAGTAATCTGTATCACGGCATCTTGATATTATGTTGACAGATCATGATATCAAGACGCATTTTAGCTTCAGTTGTACTTTTCAGAGTCTAAATATAATTTGCAAGTGAATAACTTGTGTCTAATTTTGTTTTTAAAATTCTCAAGCTTTTTAAATTTATTCTTTCTAGAATTGTGTTCCAAAAGTTTGTTTGAATAGCAAATTTAAGTTCTTTCATTTTTGGAAAAATATTTTGTGCCAAAACTCTAGCAATTATTTCAAAATTATGTTCTTTAGTAATATCTAAGTAATCAAGATATTTTAGATAAACATACATGATAAATAATTTTTTAGAACCTTCCACCATTTTGTTGACGATGAGAAATAATTATAAATTTAGTGAACAATACCAGAGTAGTTTATGGTTTCTAGAAAATCTCCTGAAAATCAAGTTTAAAGAGTATCCTGCAAAAGGAAAAGATTTTTTTTTCCTGTTTCTTTCTAAAATTTATGTTTGCATACCATTATTTTTTCAGGATATATTAGATGCGTTTTGTATGATAAATATCTACAATCTGAGAAGTTTACTCAAATTTCATTCAAAAAATTCATAGTAACTTTAGCTATGTTTTCACCATTGTGACTTTAAAATGTGACTTTAAGATTTCATATTGCAAGAATTGTTCGTTTGTGTGATTTTTCATGCAATCAAGTCAAGAATTGACTTGATTGCATGAAAAATAAGGGTATGCAAACATAAATTTTGAAATCATATGAAACAGAAAATGTTTCCTTTTGCTGGCAAGTATATCAACAAATCATGGTTATAACTTTCACTATTTGATTTATACCCTGTGAAAAACAATTTCACAGATGATTTTTGTACATCTGTTTTGATTCTTAAAAGTCAGTGTTCGTTTGCTAAACATATTTTGGTTCTTGTAAAATCCAAATTGAAATATTGTCTTTGGAGATTTTTGGGTCCCTTAAAAATGGTTTGCCAAAATTGTTTGATGACCTTTTATGTTGTTGTTGTCATGTAATGATAATTTTTTAAATAAAATGTGAAATGGCAAGACACTAAAAAATAACATTTAACTAAATAAATTTTTTTGCTGCTTTTATTAAGATTTGTCAATAGAGAATCTACTACTATGTCAATAGTTTGAGGTAAATCTGCCTAACTAGATAATATTATCAAGTTATTATTATTATTATTTTTGGGTCCCTTAAAAATGGTTTGCCAAAATAAATAATAATAATAAAGATGGTTTCTCATAAGCCAATTTCATTATTTCTGTTGATGTTCAATTCACAGTGTTTAACAAATGTTTCAGAAACTTCTGGGTGTTGAATTATGGATCTTGAATAATATTTTTAGATGCTAATTGTTCTAGTTTAATGAGTCTAAATTAAGAATAACATTTTTCATTTTGCACTGTATGTGACTAGTGATATATTTTATATGACATTGTGTGATGTGTGCATTATAATTAAAACTATGATTTTGTATACAGTATTGAAATAGAATATAAAGTACATTTTCCATTATTCCTAAAAGTGTTATTTTAAAATATTTATAATATTAACATTGGAATTTCTAGACTTTTTTAACATTTTTAGTACAACAATGAACCATTGAGGTTCAATAATATCATGAATACCGTCAGTATAGTGTTTTCTTTTATGTTTGTGTTTGAATTTGCTGTCAAGTTTTTTGCACTGGGTTGGGTAAGATATTTTCATTTTTGAAGTTTGTTATTTTATTTCATAATTTTAGTTAAATACTTTATTATAAATTATCATCAATTCAATTATTATCATATGTACTATATATACAGTTTTATTCAACTTCCAGTTTTTTTTTAGAATTATTTCAAAGATTTTTGGAATGTATTTGATATGTTGATAGTCCTTGGTGGGATTTTAGATTTTGTTTTTAAAACATACTTTGTAAGTTGTTGTGTTTTTATTTTTTTTTTAAGAATTTTTGCTTTTGAGTTTTTTCTTAACTACTTAAAAAAATTTTAATTTCAAATGTTTTTCAATAAATTATAAATGTTGCAATAAATGTGTTTTTGTAACTCCTCCTTTACTTTCTTAGTGACTTTTTTTTTTGCTTTGTTCCATTTAATTTTAGGGTATTGAGTCATTTTTAGGGTATTGAGTCATTTTTAGACTATTGTGTTTTTTTATTAATGACTCTTCAATTCTTTACTTAATGACATCCTCGTTTAAATGAAAACATGTGAAAATAAAAAATGCTACACAAATTATAGATTTATTGTTGTTTATCTTGTTTTATCAATATTTTTTTAAATGCAATTATTTGCAACCTATATATCAATGAATGTTTCTCTTATTTACAAAAATAAAATGAATTTTATTTATTGTTACAGCTTTCATTATTTTTAATTTTTGTATTTCTTGGTTGATACTAAACATTTTTGCATTCATTATTTTGCATACTTTTTTTTTTTTTTTTTTTTTTTTTTTTTAGTTCTTGAATGATTTTAATTATTTTTTGTTTTTGTTCTTAATGACAAATAGCGAATAAATGATAATAATTGGTCAAAACATTTACAATATTTAAGGTTTTATTTTTTTGTATTTAGTCAAAACAGTTACAATATTTAAGGTTTTATTTTTTGCCATTATTTGTTTATAACCAATTTTCTTTTTTTTTAGTTTTTATATTTACTAAAATCCTAATATATTGTATTGTAATTTTTATATTATAACTAGTTTTTACATTGCATAAAATTTTAATCATAGCCTCAGGCACCCTTTGATCCAAGCATATTGCGATTGTTTCGTGCTTTAAGATTGATCAAACTACTTCGCAGAAGTCATTCGTTAAGAATATTGCTGTGGACATTTTTAAAGTCATTTAGAGTAATTACTTTTTTAATTATTTTTAACATTTGAAAAAAAACTTTTTAGCAATTTTATAATAATGATATTTTCTTAAACTTTAACTTGATATGCTTTAAAAAAAATTGTTTTTAATATGTTTCTTAGTAATTATTAAATTTGGATTGTAGGTTTTTTCACACACCTAAATTTTATACTAAAATTAATGCATTTTCTGCTCTAAAACTAAACATATAATAGATAGACTTATATGTCTTAGATTTTTATGTCTTAGACTTATATGTCTTACAAACAAGTATAGAACTAAGATTCTTGTAACTTAACTTAGTTGCTCAATACTTGTTAATAATTATTTTAATTGTTTTAACATAATTCAACTTATTTTATAGAAATATCACTCTTAACCTAATAAGAACTGTATTATTTCTAACAGAATACTATATTATTTATAATTATATATTATTATTATTATTAATTAATTAATTATAATTAATATAAAATGTATTAGGGTTATGACTGAAATTATATTTGCAAAGTTTTGTATCTCCTGTGATCACAAATAAAGAACTTTTGTTACCTAATTATTTAAAAATTATTATTAGAGCTAGTTCTGAATAAAGTTCAGTCAATATGGTAACAAGATAGCTGCTAATATGGTAAGCGTCACATCTTACTAAAAATATTTTTCTAATAACGCATATCAGGTTTAGCCTCAAAAGAAGTGAAATTTTATAGGGATTTTGTAAAGAACAATCTTTAACAAATGCTTCTTGACAAAAGATTTTGTTTAAAAAAGTCTTGAAAAGTCTCTTTTTTTGATTTTTGTTTAAAAATGTTTTATTTTAAATAAATTTAAAAAAATTCTTTTTTTGAGACCCAACTTGACATTGAAAATGTCAAGATGAAATTTATAAAGCAAGATAACGATTGACAAACGACTTAAAAGATTGCAAATTATATGATTCAGAAAAACAAGATGAAGAAAGCAAGTTCTAAAAAATTGATGTTAGAGGAAAAAAACTAGATGAATAAGAATTTTTGGAGCCCTTAGGAACGGTCACAGTAAAAGGATGAGACTTAATTGAATGATGAGTAATACAAGAATGATCTTTAGAGTAGTGTCTATTATAGTATTTATAGAAAAGAGAAAGAGAAGCAACACTACGACAATATGATAATTGTTGGAGGTTGGCTTAAGAGTGCTGTCCATTGAAAACAACTTTTATACTAAAATTGGTAAGGAAGGATTCAATAATCTAAAAAATGTTAACTGATATTCCGAAAGAAAGCTTATGAAAAGATCAGCATGCCAATTTTTATCAAAGGCTTAACAAATGATGAGAGCGATAGCCTTAGTCTCTGTACATTTATCTAATACATGATAAAACCTGCTATTACTGCTAACAAATCTGCTATTACCGCTAACAAATTATCAGTAGAACGAGAGGATCAAAATCCATATTGATGATCAGAAAGTAAGTTACTAGATTCAAGATAAGAGATTAAATGTTTATTAATTAAAGATTAAAAGACCTTGTTTATGTCAGATTGCTCTCCAGAATTTTTTTAAGTATCTCTGTTTAAGATTCTCTAGAAATCTTGAGAGCCTAATTTTGAGACAAAATACAAAATTTTGTGACCTGAGAGTAGCAGGTTTGGCATTAGACAACTTTTTTACAATGGTTTCTAGCAGTAGTAAATAGATTTCTGTTTTCTAGAGAATTATTTTGCTTATAAATATGAAAGCAATGGTTTCAATTGGAAATTGCAGCAGCACAATGAGAGGAAAACCATGGAGAAGAGTGAGGCTTGACTTGGAATTGTCAAGTGGTAATAAAAGGTTCCATGCCAGCCTGATTCAAGAAGTTGAGACAAAAAATTTCTACCTAATGGCTATCACAAAGAAAATCAAGGAAAGAGTCCCAGTCAGCTTTTAGGTATGAATATATATATATATATATATATATATATATATATATATATATATATATATATATATATATATATATATATATATATACATACATACATACATACATACACATGTTTGTGTGTTATTTGAGCTTTATTAACTACTAACTAGCAGTAAGCGTTATTATTGATTGTCGGGCTCAGAATACGGTTTTTTCTTCTAAAAAAATAACAAAATCAATTTTTAATTATACTGGGAAAAAGATTTGTTTTTTGATGTACTTTGCTCTTTGAAACTTTGTTCACTAATAACTTTTTACTCATATACTCTCTTCAAATGAAATATGCAGCAAAACATGCAGAAATTTTTAAAAAATTCTTTTGGGTCAAAAAGTTTGTTTTCTGCTGTTTGTAAAAAAATGACTTTTTTATGTCTATTTTTTCACAGTAAGGAAAAAAATAGACATAAAAAAATTTTTATATCTATTTTTTTACAGTAAGTTTGTCGCTCATAAAAACTCCTTGAACTGGAACATTAGTTTACTATTGATAATGATTATACTAGATAAAGCTGCATTTGAAAAAGTAGAAATTTTAAAACATTCAGAAGTTGTGTGCATCTAAGTTGCAAGTTCCGAATTATTATCTGCATCGCTAAAGATTTTCAATATTTTATGGAAAAATTTTTATTTATTTTATGTGGCCTGTACCACAAAAATCATTAACTTTTTTTGATTTTGTAATAATTCTTTTATTCATTTGTTTTGAAATTTTTATATACTCACTCATCATTCTCCTTGCAACCTTTTTATTTTTTCCAATTATTAACATTATCTTTTCCTCAAAATCTACTTAATGTATCACACATTTAAAAAATGTTAATGTATATTGCAGGAAAATACACTCATGGAAAAGACATGTAAATTTTTTCATCTTTCATCTTTATGAACTTTTCTTTTAAAATTACCTGGATTTTCAATATATATCTCTTAGCTCCAAAGCAACAGCAGACAGTAATGTTTTCTTTAGGCCTTGATGAATTAATTTTATAATCTATTTATTCACCTTTCCTTGATAATCTATTAAGAAAAGGTGCAATATCATACTCGTATTTAATTCAAAATTTGTCTCATCAGTATTGTAAATTGTTAGACAAGGTAAATATATTTTGCTTCATAAAAGAAAGATAAGAATCCGGGCAATCAAAGACATGAAGCATATCATTCTTTTTTAAAAAATTGTAAACATTTTCAGAAAACTTCTGAATTTTGCTGACTGGAAACATTGCTGCCGCTCTGCTAATAGATTTCTTATAAAGATTGATTTTTCCCAATATTCAGTTGGAAGTCTATTTTTGAACTGTGGAGTATATGAAGACTTTCAAAGTTTTCCTATTTCTAAAGCAGCCATAATTAAATTATTCGTTGTTTTAGGATCGCTCAAATTGGATGACATTACAAGCTATTCAAACAGTTGTTTTTCTTCAAATTTATTTAACACATTTTTAGAATGAGTTTCCATCAGGCCTTCTGCATATTTTCGCTGTATCTCAAAAATATATATTTTTGAGATTCAGTAAAAAACAAATCTTTTACCCCATTTCTAAATTGATAAATAGTTTGAATTTTTTACTGTTATTTTTTTTTTAATTTTATTTTTTATTTTAGGTGTCGCATTCTGTGCTGACTATCTGCAGATTTTATATTTTGATTTTATTCAAAGGCCTTTATACATATATATTATGGCCAAGCGGTATATCTTTGCACAATCAAATGATGTTTTCAGCTGTTCTAATCCAATTGACTGGCAAAAGTGTATTTTTTGCCAAATTAACTCTGCAGACAAGTTGACATGTCTTGCTAATTCTACTCACAATTTGTGAGGCAAATCAACCTCGCAATCTTACCACAGTTCAGGGCGCGACAAATCGTTTTTTTTTTCACGGACGTTGACGTTCGTATCTTAAATTATTGACAAAGTGTAATTTAAGTGATACGTGTCAAATAATATATAAGAATATAAGTTTTATATTCAAATAAATTTTTATTTTAGTTAATAAGCTTTTGGATATATGAAAGAAGGTTATTGAATTTAATCAATTGTCATATTTTTGAAACAATTTTTCATGCATTTGCAAAGTGCGCGTAAATTATTGATTTTTAATATGCAATGATTGTATACTGTTATTCAACGATGCAAAACTTTTTTTTTAATTTAGTTTGTTAAATTTATTTACTCATAAAATATACATATAAACGTAAAGAAATTAAAATAAAAGGAACTAAAGAAATAAATCGAAAAATGACGTCTCATTTATAAATATATATAAATTTTTACAATGTTTTATTTTAGAATGGCAAAGTTCATAAATCAGACATTTCAAATGTTTACAAAATAACATTCAATACTTAATTGAAATATATTTTTGTTATAAAAAAAATTCATCCTTTGTAATAGAAGTTGTTTTATTTGATTGATAATATATGTATTTTATAAACTATGATGATTATGCAAACATATGATCAATTGAATTTATAAATTATGATGATTATACAAGCATATGATCAATTAAATTTACATTTTTCAATTTTTTTCTAATTAAAAGATGCTTAAATAATATTACATTTGACGTTTTTATAAAAAAAACTACAAAAAATGATATCTGTACAATAAAAACAAAGTTTTAGCTTTAATAAATCTTAAGTTTCTCAAAATAAGTTTATTTATTTAGTATATAATAGCTCTCAATTTATTAAATTTGTATTATATTCAGTGATGAGGGGTCCCAAAAAAAAATCTGAACTAAAAAATCACAACATGAATGGAGCTCCGAAAATGTTAAAAAACTATACTACTTTTGGGAAAATAAAACTTTGAGGTTAGAAAATCATTTTTGAACCTAAAAGTTTAAAAACTTTTTGTTATAAGTCATTAAAGCTCGTGATTTTGTTTTTTTTTTCGCATCAGATCAAATTAGAAAATGTGCTTAGTATGAGCTCCTAAGCACATTTTAGGACTCGGCATCCCTGATTAAATATATATATATATATATATTTTTAATGCAATATATTTATATTTAGGCTTTACCTTATGTTGCTATGCTGATTTTCTTACTGTTTTTTGTATATGCAATTATTGGAATGCAGGTTAATTTTTTACACTTTTTTAAGAATTTTTTGAAATTTACTTAAGAAATTAAATTTTCAGTTAAGTTTATTTTTATATTATATTTTAAACAAAATTAATGCTTAAGTTTTAGTGACTCCCTGCAGTTTATATTTCAAATATAGTTTTTTATTATTATTATTTTTTTTTTTACATGTTTATAATTTATCCTTTATTGAAATTTTGATATAAACTTGACATTGCCAAAAATGATATTATATATAAAAATTAGTAAAAATTCTTATCTAATTTTTAGTTTTCTTCAACATAATGTTTCTCCATCAGGAAGAATGTCTAAATATCAAAAATTTCAAATTATAGAAGTATTATTTCACAGAAAGTTGGCAATTGTTATAATTAATTATATAATAGCTGTAGTATTTTGCAACCAGGAAGTTGAAACACCTGCATTAGATAATTAAATATTATATAATATATATTTAATCTTTACTGTTGCCAATTTTAGAAATTCTTGGATAGTAAAAATTAATAAGTTGAATTTTTTATTGAATTATTTATATAATTTTTTTAAACTTGTTAATTTTATAAAACAATTAACAGCATTGCTTTATAATAGGCACATGCTAAAGGGTGTTTTATAACGAGGCTATGGTAAAATCTCTATGTTGCACCCAAGGTAGCAGCATAGATTTTTCTCTACCCCCCTCTAATAATTATTTTACAAAAAGATGATCTTAAAAAAATAAATTTTTAGCTAAATATATCAAGTGCTACTTAAAAAAAAACAAATTTGAAATTTACATGAAACTTTCTCTGTTGAGAAAGTTTCATGTAAAAAGGGTTACATGAAACTTTCTCTGTTGAAACCATACTAAGCGTAATTAGAAAAATTTGAGCTCAATTTTTTACAAAAACATTCATGTTTTTTGTGTGTAGCACTTTCTACTAATTATTATTTAAGCGCTATTTTTTAGATGTTTTATGAAATAGTTTTAGATTTTAGAAGAAATATTTTTAATTTTTTTTGTTTTTAGAGAATACTAAAATTTATAAAATTTATAATCATTATCAAATTTATGTATAAAGAATATTTAATATTCTCTATACATAATATTATAATAAAAAAAAAAAGAATAACATTTTTTAAAAGTAAAATAATTTTTAAAATAGTTTCCTACTAAAAAATTCATTTTAGTCTGAGAAAAGTTCATTTTAAAAGTAAAATAATTTTTGAATAATTAGTTGTTAATTTCTTAAACAGAAGGAACACATTACAATGAACACAGTGACATAACTAATTTTTGAGGTAATACATAGTTTAAACACTAGGAGAATAAAACATCCACTTTAGCTCGATAAAGACGATCGCGACTTCTTAGAATGAGTCACAATAAATTTTCTCGGTTTTAATATTTTGATCTATTTGCAAAAACCGAAGAAAATAGAGTTAGGAAAAAATGTGATATCAAAAATGAAACTAAGTGTTAAATAGATACAAACTCTTGGAATTTTTTGTATTGCATAATGTTTTAACTAAATTTAAAAAATTACCCAGCAATTATTAATTAAAAAATAACCAGCTGGGATTTACCAATTAAACAAAGTTATTTTTTGTTGGCATCGCAATGTTAAGTTGCAACAAAAAAAAACAGCACAAAAACTAGTAACAGCTGACAGAGAATTTTAATTGAAAAAGTAATTTAAGCAGTTAATATGTAATGGCAGGATTAGAATACTATTTATTTCTCTCCATTTTAAAACTGGCAATTTAGAGTTTTTTTTCTTATTCAACACTCAAATTCTACATTAGTTTAACGGAGTGAATACAGCTGCAGAACTTTTAGTCAATTTTATTATTTGTGTGTTGCAATTAAATAACACTAAATAAGTTTGTTGAAAACAATCTAAGATTAAAAAAATTAAATCAAATTTATGTTTCTATCTTTGCTGTCAATTTATTATGGAGTTAAACCTAATTTTCAAAGAACAGCCCTAGGTAAAATAGCTAGTGGCCCTAGGTACAATTAAAAAAAAAGCCTATTGTTCCTAGAGACACAAGTTTAAAAAAAAACTTTGTACATGACAAACTTTTATACTTTGAGTCAATACACTTATACTAATACAAAGTAATTAGTATAGAATGTGATCTTATCAGTTTCACCAAGGCCTTACCTGAGGCCTTGAATTTGGGCATTGAAAAAGTCTGGCTTTAGGTACACAAATTTCCTATATATATATATATATATATATATATATATATATATTATATATATATATATATATATATATATATATATATATATATATATATATATATATATATATATATATATATATATATATATATATATATATATATATATATATATATATATATATTTATATATATATATATATATATATATATATATATATATATATATATATATAAATACATATATATATATATATATATATATATATATATATATATATATATATATATATATATATATATATATATATATATATAAATACATATATATATATATATAAATATATATATATATATATATATATATATATATATATATATATATATATATATATATATATATATATATATATATACATAAGCATGCTCAGAACTTTTGTGATGCCTGAGTCCAAAAATTTAATGTATTCCCCATCATACAGAGCAGCCATGGCACAGTGGTTAGAGTTCTAAAAACTTAATTGTCAGAGGTTTAATGTCAGTTCTGGCATGATAAGCGAAATTAGCAAGGAAAGAGGCATAAAGTTTTTGTTAAATGTTCTTCAGTGACCTTACTGTAAGGAATAAATAAAAAATAATAATATCAAGTATATAAATAGTTTAAAAAGTACGACGACTTTAAAAATAATATATAGCAAACAAATTGATATATTTTTGTTTTTTTCTTTTTTTTTTATTCATTAAAAATCTAAAATTAATGTTACTCTAGCAAGGTCTTTTTTTTCTTAGCAAAAAAATTTGAAGCTTCTTTTCCCTTTGAATTTAAAAATTTGAAACTTCTTTTCCCTTTGAATTTACCTAAAACTTTGAAATTTGTATTTTGATTAAATCTTGATTAATGGTGATTTTTGGTAAACTCCTCACTAATAATCTAGATTAAAAAATGATCTGTTAAAAATTTTATGTAATTTGAACAGGTTCAAGGGAAAACAAGATCTTCACTAATTTGATATGTGGAGTTCAATTGAATTTTTTTACTTTTTTTTGAAGTATTGCTAAATAACTATCATTTTTAAACAATACAATATATTTTTTTTTTATTCTCATTCTATTAACTACTTGAAAAATTTATTTTTCAAAATTTGAAATTCATTTATTTGAAAAATTTGAAATTTATCTATTAACTTTTCAAAAATTTATAAACAAAGATCATATAATCATAAATAAAAAAAACCCAATCAAAATATTTAACAAAAAAGTAAATCATTTTAAATGTTTTTTAGATTTTCTCTCAAATAGCGATTAATTCAAGTGAAGATCAATGGCAGTATATAAACGAAGATAACAACTTTCGTACTTATTTTAGTTCAACGCAAATATTATTCAGGTTTGTTACCTTTAGCTTCAATAAGAAAACTAGTTTTTTATGCATTTTTAATTTGTTATAAATAAATGGCGGAAAATTCCTAAGCTAAAAAAAGGTTAAAATATTGTTAAAAATGTTTTCAAGTAACTTTTTTTATTTTTATATTGGCAAATTTTTTTTAACTTTTTGTAAATTTATTATTTAATTTTATTAATACTTAAGTTGTTTAATTTGTTACTTTTATTAAATTATTTTTTTTATAATATTGAAAATTTTTATAATATTGAAAAGTTTTGATTCAAGTTTCAGAGTTGTAGCTAGTATATATATATATATATATATATATATATATATATATATATATATATATATATATATATATATATATATATATATATATATATATATATATATATATATATATATATATATATATATATATTCTTAGGTATGAATATTCATTTTTTTAAATTATTTACAATTAGTCAGGGATTATTTTGTAAGCAGTCAGACCACCAAAAATGATTCAATTTGAGGTCCTGAAACTAGACCATCAACTTCATGTACAAAATTGACATTGTCTTCATTGTTTAATTGTTTTTTTTTACTTTAGTAGCAACGGGAAAAAAAAGTGACTTATCTCCCCGTAAAAGGGGTCAAATTAAGGTTCTCTTGGAGAATACAGAACTTACTCAATTGACATTGACATTAAAAATTGGGGTGACTCAGAGCATTGTGCCAAGCATAAAAAGGAACATGCAGCATGGCTCAACAGGTACTCCAAGACATAAAAAAAATGCAGAAGAAGCAGATATTTTTTTTTTTTTTTTTTTTTTTTTTAACATCTTCACTTCCAACAAGGCTGCAAGCAACCACTATAAGAGTTGGAAGTTACTGGAAGAGAAAAGACTAAATCTGTAGAGCAAGATAACGATTGACTGATGACTTAAAAGATTGCAAATTATATGAATCAGGAAAGCAAGATGAAGGAAGCGAATTCCAAAGAACTGATGTTCGAGGAAAAAAACTAGAAGAATAAGAGTTTTTGAAGCACTTAGGAACAGTCACAGAAAAAGGATGAGACTTAATTGAATGGCGAGTAACACGAGAATGAATTTTAGTAGATGGCACAAGGGACGCTAGCTCTTTAGAGCAGTGCCCATTATAGTATTTGTAGAAAAGAGAAAGAGAAGCAACATTACGACGATGTGACAAAGGTTGGAGATTGGCTGCCAGAGCAGGTCCAACTATGTTTACAATTCGTTTTTGCACCTTGTCTAAAAGAGAAAGAGCATCATTAGAAGATCCGCCCCAGATGTGGCAACAGTATTCCATACAGAGACGGATTTGAGATTTATAGAGATAGAGAATAGAATCTGGAGTAAGAAAGTGTCGAGCTCGATAAAGAGATGCAACTTTAGCAGATGCTAATTTTGCAATGGATTTGATATACGGTTTAAAAGAAAGATCAGAAGTAAGAGTTAATCCTAGAAGATGAATGGTAGATGACTCATCTAGTACATTACCATTCATAAATATAGGAAGATCTAAATTATTACGATAACGATTGGCCGAATAAAATTGAGTTTTATCTGAATTAAAGTTCACCAGCCACTGTGAGCCCCATGCTGTAGCAGAAGTGAGGTCCTTTTCAAGCTCAGATACTCCCTCCAAGCAATCAGAGAGTGTAGGCTTCTTATCATGACAAGAGTAAATGGTAGTGTCATCAGCGAATAATGCCACCTTAGATGTGAGAATATCTGGAAGATCGTTAATGTAAATTAAAAAGAGTATAGGGCCAAGGATTGAACCTTGAGGAACCCCTGAAGTTACAGGATGTGAAGAAGAGTGTTGTCCATCAAGGACAACTTTTATATTACGATTGGAAAGAAAGGACTCAATAATCTTAAAGACGTTACCAGCTACATCATAAGAAGAAAGCTTATGGAGAAGACCAGCATGCCAAACTTTATCAAAAGCTTTAGAAATGTCAAGTGCGATAGCCTTAACCTCTCCACCTCTATCTAATGCACGGTAAAACCTATCGGTTATTACTGTTAGCACATCAGCTGTAGAACGAGAAGACCGAAATCCATATTGATGATCAGAAAGTAAGTTATTTGATTCAAGATGAGAGATTAAGTGTTTGTTGATTAAAGATTCAAAAACCTTGCTTATGACAGGAAGAAGACTAATGGGACGGTAGTTAGATGAATCAGATCGCTCTCCGGAATTTTTGAAAATAGGGATAACAGATGCTGCTTTCCAGCATGATGGAAAACAAGACTCTGATAAGCACTTGTTAAATAGTTTAGAAAGTATGGATGAAAGCTCCGGAGAACACCTCTGCAAGACTACAACAGGAATGTTGTCAGGACCACAAGCTGTTGAAGAGTCTAAGCAGGAAATTACTTTAGATACAGAAGCTGAAGTGATGCGAATGTCAAGCAAGGGATCAACCTGTTTGACGGCTATGTCAGGTAAAACGCAACTAGTGGAATCAAGAGATGATATTGATGAAAAGTTCTTAGCAAACAATTCAGCTTTGTCTTTAGGTGAGGTGAAAAAGTCTGAACCATACAAGAGAGAAGGAATAACAGATTTGCCCTTATTATTGATACTGTTAAAGATTCTCCAGAAGTCTCGAGAGCCTAATTTTTGTGATGAGATACGAGATTTAATGACCTGGGAATAGCGAGCTTTGGCGTCAGACAAAACCTTTTTACAATGGTTTCTGGCAATAGTGAACAGATGTCTGTTTTCTGGAGAATTGTTTTGCTGATAGATATGGAAGTAACGGTTTCGATTAGAAATTGCTGCAGCGCAATGTGAGGAAAACCAAGGAGAAGAGTGAGGCTTGACCTGAAATCGTCGAGAGGGAATAAAAGATTCCATGCCAGCCTGAATCCACGAAGTTATGTAAGAAGCACATTTGTCAGCAGGAAGACGAAAGATTTCTACCCAAGGGCCATCACGAAGAAAATCACGGAAAGATATCTTTGCAACAAGATGATCGACCTTTGGCGAGACTTAAAATTTAATCGCAAAACGACATTACGCAGATTGATGGTTGAAATAAACACTTTAGGTGTTCAGATGAATTGCAGGACTGTGCAAAAAAGATTGAAACTGTTTTGATGGTATATAGAACAATAAAGAAACCAAAATTGACCACTGCATTGATGAAGAAAAGATTATTATGGCCAAACAATTTGCCACATGGACAATGGAGGACTGGAAAATGGTGAGTTGTCTAAATATTTGATTACTCCCATACTGTCAAAAAAAATAATTTTTAAATTTGATTATTGACAAACCAATTAAATTAAACTTAATTTAAATTACTAGAATAAGATTATTTGTAATAACTGTAAGCCTACAACAGTAATCTGTGTAATCCACTGTATATGTGTATGTATGTGTTTAAGGTATGTTTTTCTGTTGAATCAACACTGGAAATATTGGACAACAATTGCCGCTATGTAAGAAGAAGGCCAGGAGAAGAATTTCTTCAACGATGTTTGGTACAGAAGGTCAAACATCCAACTAAAGTCATGGTTTGGAGCGTGATATCATTCAAAGGACCTGGACATCTATACCTTGTAGATGGAATGATGAATGCTAAACAGTACAAGAAAGTTAAAAGAACTTGTCTGATTTCTTAACTAGAGGACTGGTTTCCTGATTGGAACTGCATTTACATGCAAGATGGGGCACCCTGCCATATGACAAACATTATCAAGGATTACTTTGTTGATATCTGTATAAAAATGATGCCTCGGCCAGCAAGTAGTTATGATTTGAACCCAATTGAAGGGATAAGGCACAATCTGAAAGACAGTAAACAAGGTCACTTCCACTAACAAACGTGCCTTAATGGAATGCATCGATCATGTATGGTTTCACAACCCGGATATTACACAGTTATTTTCCAAATACTATGCAAGTTTGCCAAATAGAATTGCAGTGTTTATAAAAGCCAAGGGTGGTGCAACCAAATACTGAAAACATATGCACAATGAGTAAGTTGTACACAGTACATGTATATTTGCTAAATTTGGGCTTATATAATGAACATGTGAAATAAAAACAAGTTTTTGTCAATTATTGTCATAATTTGGCCCCTCCTGTATATATATATATATATATATATATATATATATATATATATATATATATACATATATATATATATATATATATATATATATATATATATATATATATATATATATTATATATATATATATATATATATATATATATATATATATATATATATATATATATATATATATATATATATTTATATATATATATATATATATATATATATAAATAAATAAATAAATGTGTATATATATATATATATATATTTAAATATATATATATACTTAAATATATATATATATATATATATATACTTATATATATATATATATATACTTAAATATGTATATATATATATAATTATATATCCCAGCTAGCATATTGACATTGGCCCAACGTTGGATCAATGTCAAAAAATTCGTTGGCAGATGGTCAGCAACCGACGTTGAGCCAACGTGGATTTGATAGTCGGCGCGACGTCGCAACCAACCAACGGTTGGTTGCGACGTTGCGTCGACTATCAAATCCACGTTGCGTATATATATATATATATATATATATATATATATATATATATATATATATATATATATATATATATATATATATATATGAATACGTCACATATATATATATATATATATATATATATATATATATATATATATATATATATATATATATATATATATATATATGAATATTTAAATATATTGAAACTAAAAATATTTTCAATAAATAATTTGTATCAAAATAAAAATCAACAAGCATATGTACTATATACAAATAAAATGAGCTGTATATGTACTATATACAAATAAAATTTTTAACTAAGTGAATACGTTGAGCCAAAGTCGTGCCGCCGTTGGCACGACTTTGGCTCAAGGTTATCACTTAGTTAAAAAAATTGA